AATGCTTGCAACATAATGATAACTACGGTTATGTACTAAAAAGATAGATCCTCAAGCAAGGAAATGACGCATAATGAAGCATGAGTGGTGGGAAAGCACATGCTACAAGTATAACAAATTAATGACACGAACAACCGGAAGTTGATGAACACTTCACTCCAAGGCAACTCAGCACCAGAAATTCGAACCCAAATCAATCAGATAAGGGGCAGATGACACCTTTTGAAGACATACCTCATTCAATACATTGAAGTAGTAACAACATGAACGATGACAAGTTAAGATACATGCACAACAGGTAACAACAGTATACAAGTATACACACATAGACAAACGAACTCTCCACTCGAACACGCTCACACACGGAATCATATTGATCACTCATGGGGAGTATTGTTAGAGAAATGAGTACAGAGGAGTGGCATGACCAGAACATTTTAAACTCATTTGAAGTTCGGTACCGCATGCAGATCAATATGGATAACTGAAAAAACACAATCCATATTGACCAGAGATGACGGGCAATAACAAGTCTGATAGGTACCTTTATACCCTGATACGTGGGAATAACTCTGAGACAAGCCAAAGTCTATACACAAAGTATAATAATAGAACTTTATTCCTGACATAGTTGAAACACTTTATTACTAACAAAGTTTATTTATATAACTTTATTCCTGACATGGTTTATTAATAAAGGTTTCTTTTCTTCCTACTCAACCTCAGGTTTGAAAGTCACTAGATAACCAGAATGCAGCCGGCAACACCAACCAATAAGAATAGACACGCTCTGGTATCAAACTTTCCAAAGACATATATCGGTAGATGATCACGGCACAATTCGTACCAACAGCAAGAATATGTATAAATGACATGCCAGTACCCACACGAAGTGCCCCAGGCACAGGTGGAAGTGCAATGCATGTTGATAGTGTTAGCACGCCGGGACGTGTGCCACTTCCATGAATTAGTAGATTTCATGCAGTACTAGACAGTGTCACATACATATTTGCGTAGTGTCTACTTAGTATTCCTCTCGTTTAGTTTTAATTCAAACTTCTCATCAGAGATTGTCCGTGTGTGTCAAGATAACATGTGATTTCTCTAGAAAAAAGATAAGTTATTTGCACACATTCGAGTACCCTTTCCCTTTACGGGTACCACTCTACAATATAAGCGCATCAAAATGCAAGCAACCCAGTTGCATGAAACAGAATCATACACTTCAGACGGTATTGGTAACTTAGTACCTTGGTGGATCACCTCAGACAATTGCATGGGTCTTATATTCTCACAAATATTTTAACCCAATTTAGATACATCATCAAATTTACAAATAGCGTTTGCCAAGTTCATGTTAAATACTTTCTTGGCCATAAAATAATACATTTGGTTTGGTTCCAAACTTGCAACTTCTAAAGATTGTCCGTGTGTGTAACGAGATAGCTCGTGTATTCTCTGAGAAAATACTAGTTGGTAGTTATATGCATTTAACTAGCCTTTCTTTTATCGGGTGCTCATCGACAAGTTATACTTAACAAAATACGACCAACTTGTGCATAAAACATAAACTTATGATACGGTCGCTATCCATAACTTAGTAGGTTGATGAATCTTCTCAAATAACTACATGAGTCTAATACTTATATACATATCGGTTCAATATTTCAGTTATAGTAAACTTTCACTTAGAATTAGCTAAGTTGGTATTTAAAACCTCACTATGCTATAGAATAATACATGTGGGTTCGATTTAAACTTATAACCTCGTGAAGATTACCAATATGTGCCACAAGATAACTCTTTTTAATGAGAAAATGTCAGTTGAGATTTATATTCATTTGAATACCATTTGTTGTAACAGGATCCCCTCGACGAGGTATACGCATCAAAGCATATCCACCTGATTGCTTGATTGATGCACAAATAGATACTAGAACAGAAGACTGCACTTCAGTAGGTATCCATTAGTCAGTGGAACAGTCATCCCAAATAAGCACATGGGTCATATATACACATTTATCGTTTGAAATATTATGGCGCTTCTCAAGTTAATATGAAAAATTCTCTCGGCTACGGAACAATACACGGCTTCGATTCAAGATTTCATATAAGCGCATCAAAATGCAAGCAACCCATTTCCATGAAACATAATCCTACGCTTCAGTCGGTATCGGTAACACAGTACCTTGGCGGATCACCTCAGACAATTGCAAGGGTCTTATACTCACACAATTTATCGAGCACTTAGTTGCTCTACTACTTTAGAAGCCATCCGGTAGAACTGAACTGGCCCTCACATCAGTTACTAAGATATATTGCTTTACTCCTCGGCCCATTTTGGCCTTTGTACAAATAGACACTAGTACTCTTTGAATGACATATATAATGTCAAGTAATATTCAATCAATGAAACAGTTTCCAAGGGACAAAGCTTTATTGGTCTCTATAGGTTATGGGCATTATCTTTTGACCAAATTTGAACCAACTTCCTTTATTTTTGCTATGTCCGACTCAATCTCAGGCGAAAGCCGTAAAATGCGATGGTCCAAACTACTTTGCAATGGACCAAACTAGGACACAAATGGTGGGCTCATCTTATTGCAGCCGCCAACACCGAGTACAAAGATGATGTTGAAGGTGTTCTACGCTACAAATACGTTAAACGAGAAATCCTCGCCAAGCAAATCAGTACTCCGATTCATAATCGCACACCTACCGCCGACACCGCTAAGATAGAGGGCATCAATCGTTTCCGTCGTAAAGCCAAGACCAACGGCACATATCAACTCGCTAAGTCCCAATTCCTCCGATCCCTATCGGAAGATATTCTCGATTCCCTCACTGCGGAAGAACTCTCCGAGGATAAATGGGCTCTCCTTATATATATTCGTCGTGCTTTTGAGCATAACTCAGCCACGGTCAACAACTCGATCGCTTTCGATTTACTGAAATCCTTCTCTCCCATTGACGATGACATGCTTCGCACCTGGTGCAAGCGTGTCACCTCCATTGCTACTATGGCATCTAAACAGAACACGATTTTCTCAGCTGTTTTCGTCCAGGGTATATCTATCTCGGGCCTCAGCGCCGCGGATAAGGATGTCGCTCGCCAGTATCTCCTTGACGTCCCCAACCGTGATGACATCTCCATTTTATTACTGTGCGAACGTATTGGACGTTGGAACAATGTCGCCCCAGTTGTAAACGACACCACACTTCCTGAGGCTGCCGCAACCTCTACCACCTCTGCCGTCAAGCAACCTCCGTCGGCTGAGACCCTCCTCCATGGCCTCACCAACCGTCTTGATGCCATAGAGGCGTCACGTTCTTCCACTCGCCCGCCTACGCCCTGCTTCGTATGCTTTCAGCTCGGCCATCGTTTCTCGGCATGTATCAAAGCTTGTGGTCGCTGCATATCCAAAATCATACAGGCATAGACTGTAAGACACCCGGCCTCAGTTGTACTATTTGTAAGCGTATATCTCATGTACGAGATGTATGCTCTCGCAGTACAAATAACTCAAATTTCGCCTATTCTCCTCCACGCTTAGACAGCGTTCGTAGAATACACATTCAGTTAATGACTGACTATTAATAGATGGCGGCGCAGGTGTATACCTTCTGCACACGTCCGCAAAGCACTTACTCACGAAAATAGAAACCGCAAAATCTCCCCTACTTCTGGCAGATGACACTCAATGTATTATTACCGAACGTGGTAGCTTATCCACCTTAGGCAATGCTTACCTCAGCCCCACGGTCCAGCAACAGCTAGTTTCTCAAAATAAGCTGCAAGATCACGTTTATGACCTTCATTTCCCCGCGAAACAGCACACCCGTATTCTCTCACACGTCGATAATTCACTCACTGTCCCGCGCACCGACGGTGGTTATCAGCTCTCCTATGCTGACATTACGTGAGAGACTACAGGTCTTGGCCAGATTTTACAGCAAGAAACCATCTTTGATTTATGGAAGTCATCAAAGTTAGCCTACTCCCAAGAGCTAAGTCATCAGAGTTAGTTCACTCCCGAGAGATAAGTCATCAGAGTTAGCTCACTCCCGAGAGCTAATCAAGTTGCTTAAATTACTCCCAAGAGTTGTGTTATTACTTAACCGACTTCCGAGAGCATATTAAGTCTGTCAACTGCGACATTCTAAAAATAGCTGCGGTTCTGTGTGAGTCACAACCTATGCGGAAAGGCATCATGTGATTAGCGTGATATTTAGTTGCAGAGAAGTTGAAATAGAATAGTATCGAACTGTTAAAGTGTTCTGCATAAGGTTTCTCATACTGACCACATGTGTTTTTTATCCTGGCCAGCCCAAGCGGCTGAACACTAGCACAAACACCTTAGGTATAAAACCAAAGGTGAGGTCATAAATAAATACATACATTTGCACTTTGTTTAAAGTCTACTACATTGCACTATAACATCACGCGACTAGTAGCCACTTCCCCGTCAGCCCGCGCCTACACTACACCTCATCTCTCTTCCTTACAGCCTCACACATCGCCCCTATCTCCGGCCCATGAGTCCTCATCTCCAAGCCCTACCTCGGCCTCTCCCTTAGTCCGAACTTCACCCAAGTCATTGATACTCTCTCCCACTACACCACCCCCACTTTCTCCCATCGCCACGTCTTCTCCAGGCCTTCCTATTGTTCGCGCCTACGATGAATATCGTCTCGATATTAGACATTAGAGCTGGTCTACTACGTTAAAGATGGCAGCAAAGGAGGGCATCACCCTCACACATTAACCTGCAGTCGGGGTAAAGACCGAGGAGTGGATGCTCAACTTCCACGTCTTTCAACGCTCTATGGATTTTCTCAACTGTCATCCCACGATCGACCTCTTCGCGTCCCCAAAGATCGCCCTCTTACCCAGTTTTGGTCCCCTCAACTGTTGGTGCAAGGCCCCTCGGCTCCTTTGTTAGACAAACGCGTATATGGAAATAGCATTTGGTCTGATACGCGCGAGTTCTTAGATAAGATCGTCACCACAAGTGCGACATGTACGGTAATAGCCCCACTTCGCCCCCACGTCTCTTGGTGGTCCACCTTTTATCTCCCGCATCCAGTCACAGCCCTACATTATCCAGAATAACGATAGCACATTTCCCCGCCACGGCCAGGACATAGTCTGCAAACTTTCGTGGGTGTATTCACTTGTTGTCATCATTGGTCCCATACACTCCACTGTTTCTCCAGGGCCCGACATTCGTGCAGCTATCCTCTACTCTCGCGCCCACCCAGAGTTCCCAAAACACTGTCAGGTGTGTATAATCGAAGATTCGTACCAAGAACGTCTCCCACTCCCTTTCTGCTACTAAGTATGGACCCGGCGAGTTATTTCATGTTTATCTACAAGGACCCATCCCTGAAGACATTTGTGGTTACTACTACACTCTAAATCTCATCGATAAAATCCTCGTCCAGATGTCACCGCCCTATACTCCCCAGCTCAATGGCACTGTTGAACGCGCCCATAGTACATACAACAAATTGGTCTGGTCCCTCCTGCTGGAAACCGGCATACCTCGCCACCTCTGGAGCGATGCGAAACGCTGGGCCGACATGATTCGTAACGATACTCTCGTCACTCAAGAACGCAACTATACCCCAAGTCATATCTGGTTCCAGCGAAATATACCACGCCCTGTCGACGCGCGCTTTGGATGTTTGATGATTATTAAACTCGAGGGCCCGGCCCAGGAAGCTCGCCACAAATTCAAGACCCCAGGCGGCTATGGCGTGCTTCTCGGTCGTTCGAAGAACAGTACTCCAGATATCTGGCGTATCCAAAGTATGCGTACTCAACAACAGCACGACACCCGGAATATTAAATTCCTTCCAAACCTTCGCCCCCCAGTGGTCACCCGATGGCAAGAGAGCCACACTATCCGACACCCCACACTCCTACCTAGTACCCGAGGACTGGTTCGATCCTTGTCAACATTCGACGCCTGTGCTCGTTCCATTCGTTCCGCCTACTCCACCCTCTATTGCTACTCCACCTCCTCAGACCCAACACTCACATCGTTACCCCGCTGCGTACCCTTATAATCTCCCTGTGAACCCCGTCGCTTCCCCTTCCATTCTACCCATAGCCACTCCACAATAATGTACCGATACTGCAGTGCATGCCACCTCGCCTCCTCTTCCGACAACTCTGATACCCCAACCTGCCTTCCCTCTGTCCTCACCTGTCGACTCCCCCCGAGATCCAACCATGCGCAGGACATGTCTAACACGTTCGACGACCTCTCGTCGCAATAGGATTATCGTTCGCCGTTCGCCACTCCCAATGAATGTCATTTTGATAAATCCTTCTTAAGTATATAGGCAGAAGCTGGAAACCCTCATGGTTACCATACCCTTCCAGAGTCCCGTCCACTCCCCACCGCCACAGGCCAAATCCGTCCAGTCTTCCAACCGCGCGGATATCACGCTCTTCGAAACCATGTCCCTCATAGACACGTCCGTTCCCAAAAGCATCACCTAGGCAATGCATGCCTCTGACTGGGCACTCTGGAAGGCGGCAATTGACGATGAGTACGCTGCTCACCAACGCAATGATCTCGCCGACGTCATCCCTTTCTCCGAAGCACCTGCGGGCACGAAAATTATTCATTCTAAGTACGCCATGGCACGTAAGCATGACGAGAATGGTAATAGGCTCGTACAGTTACAAGGGGCGACGAGCAGGAGCATGGTGACTCCTACTACGAAACATACGCCCCTGCCGCCTCGTCGGTAGCACTGCGTACCTTTTTGGCTCACGCCGCTTTTAATAATCTTGAGGTCCTCCACTTCGATGTTACGATTGCCTACCTTTATGTCAAATTGTACATATTTACATGCACCATCCGAAAGGTGCACTGGAGCTCGGCCACTATTCGCCGAACATCATCCTTCGCCTCAAGCGGGGCCTCTACGGCCTCCGACAATCAGGCAGACTTTGTAATTTTGACATAAAAGACAAACTGATTTCCTTGGGTTTTACCCAAACCGAAGCAGATGAATCCATATGGGACCATGCCACCAGAATATCACAGTGGTACTCTACGTGGACGAAGTATTGCCTGCTATAGAACGAGGAATATCACATAGAATTTGGCTTTATTCAGAATTGGAAAAGCACTACCTAATGAAAATCTAGGCCGCGCACGTCACCTAGTTGGCCTGAAAATCGACCAACACGGTGATGGCAGTATTTCCATAGGCCAAAAAGCATACATTGACAAAATCCTTACCGTTTTTCATCTTCAGGATACTCTGACGAAGAACACTCCAGGCACCGGAAAATACCCCTCTGCTCTAGCCAGTACTCCCTGCAAAGAAAAGTATCGATCACTTTTAGGAGCGCTGGGTTTTGCAGTCAACATGACACACCCATACATAGCGTGTACACTCAATCGGTTAGTTTCCTGTAGTAGTTCCCAACTTACCGAACACTGGACGGCATTCCAAGAGGTATTACTTTATCTTGCTGCTACAAAATCAATCACAGTCACATACAGCACAAAATCTATTATCCAACCAATAGATACGGCCATTCGGGCATATTCTGACTCCGATTGGGGGACATGCCTAACATCTCGTCATTCTCAATCGTGCACTCTCATCAATTTCAATGGCATACCCATATTGTGGAAATCTTCGAAACAGAAGACAGTAGTAAATAGCAGTAGTGAAGCAGAGTATGTAGCTGCAGCAGATACTACACGACAACTTGCATGGATTCGCAACCCTCTTCGCAATATTCTACATGAAATCAAATACACCCTCACTACACCTACCAGCCTTCACATCGACAACCAGGCTGCAATTAAAGTTGCAATTAGACACAGGAACTACAAAAGACCTTAAGCACACCGAAATTAAGGAACACTATACGAGAGATTGTGCTAGACGTAAAATGATTGATATTCACTTCATTCAAAACAAGAAAATCCTGCTGACATCCTTACCAAAGGTCTCGGACGCAGAAAACATGAACATTTTACCGCAAGTCAATAGCATCCGCACACGCCGCCGCCACTGTCATGTTATTGACATCTCTAGCTAACCAGCTCACACTACATATCATACATCCAGTAGAACTGAAGTGGTCCTCACATCAGTTATCAATATGTATTCTTTTCCCCCTGGGCTCATTTTGGCCTTTGTACAAGTAGTCACTAGTCTACTTTTATTGACATATATAATGTCAAGTAATATTAATTTAATAAAACAGTCTCTCAAGAACTAAACATCATTGGTCTTTATACAAATGGTTTGAAATGATATAGATACATCATCAAATTTACAAATAGCGTTTGCCAAGTTCATGTCAAATACTTTCTTGGCCATAGAACAATACATTCGGTTTGGTTCCAAACTTGCCACTTCTAAAGATTGCCCGTGTGTGTAACGAGATAGCTCGTGTATTCTCTGAGAAAATACTAGTTGGTAGTTATATGCATTTAACTAGCCTTTCTTTTATCGGGAGCTCATCGACATCGACAAGACAAAACACAACCAACTTGTGCAAAAAACATAAACTTCTGATACGGTCGCTATCCATAACTTAGTAGGTTGATAAATCATCTCAAATGACTACATGAGTCTCATACTTTTATACATATCATTTAAATATTTTAGCTTTAGTAAAATTTCACTTAGAATTAGCTAAGTTGGTATTTAAAACCCCACTCTGCTATAGAATAATACATGTGGGTTCGATTTAAACTTGTAACCTCTTGAAGATTATCAATGTGTGACACGAGATAACTCTTTTTATGAGAAAATGTCAGTTGAGATTTATTTGCATTTAAATACCATTTATCATAACATGATCCCCTCGACGAGGTATACGCTTCAGGGTATATCCAACTGATGGCTTGATTGATACACAAACAGATTTTAGAACAGAAGACTGCACTTCAGTCGGTATCCATCACCTGGTAAGTGGAAGAGTCATCCCAAATAAGCACACGGGTCATATATACACATTTATCGGTTGAAATATTATGGCGCTTCTCAAGTTAGTATGAAATTTTTCTCGCCTACGGAACAATAGTTTTGATTCAGGATTTTGATATTTGCAACATGTTACGAAATACGTATCGTTTCTCTGAGCAATTGTCAGTTGGGATTAATTTGTATTCAATTACCCTTCTAGAAACAGGAGCCCCTCGACATGATGAGCCCCTTGACAAGACGTACGCCTCAAAATACGACAAACTGATGATATGAAAACTAAATGAATATATGCATGGAACAGAGACATACACTTCAGTCGCCATTCATTGCTAATCAAGTTGACTGATCACTTCAAAGGAATACATAGGTCTTACACGTTCATAAATCTGTTAAAACATTTTACATCCAGTGAATTTTTACTTTGGATTTGATAAGTTAATTATAAACCGCCTCACTGCTATAATAATAATTCATTTGGTTTTGATTCAAACTTTCAACCTCTTAGAGATTGTACGTGTGTGTCACGGAGTAGCTCATGTTCTCTATATAAATTGACGGTTGTAAGTTATATGAATTTCAATACCACCTCTTTTAACGGGAGCCCTTCTACAGGTTATACGCATTAAAGTACAACCAGCTGATGGTCTAAGTAGCACATAATCAAAACAGCCCAACTGGTGATTTAAATAATATATAAAACAACTACATGAATCAGAAACCTATACTGCAGTCGGTATCGTATACCTGACAAGTTGGCGAATCACCTCAAAGAAACACATGCGCCATATGTACATACATGGATCGTTAGAAATAATGTAGATCCAGCAATTTTATACTGAGGATTTGATAAGTTAGTGTTAAAAACCATATCGGCTATAGAATAATACATAGAGTATAAATCTGGGTTCGATTCAAACTTTTAATACCTTCAAAAATTGTCTGCGTGTGTCACGAGATTAACATTGTTGACTATGAGAAAAAAACAGTTGGGATTTACACGCACCTGAATACACTTTCTATTTACGGGAGTCCCTGTACAAATACGAGGCCATACAAGCCGATGCCGTGGACAACTTGCTGATTTTCCATTCAGACTGCAACAAGATTGCTTGTGACAATTTGTACCTATGTCGTGACTTTATTGTACAACGGTGAAGAAGTAAATGGATCCTATAAAATGGTATAGATCTATCAAATTTTCGTGTAGAATTTACTATATTTGTGCTAAAAACCCTCTCGGCTGTAAAATAATGCATTTGGATTCGATTTAAACTTTTAATTTCTTTCATATCGTCTGTATGTGTTACTATTCAAGATTGTCTGTTTGTGTCCCGAGATACTTACTGCTTCTTATCTGAGAACATGTCAGTTGGGGCTTATATGCATTTGAATATCCATTCCTTATTTGAATACTGAATACACAAAGGTATAAAACAGAAATATATACTCCCGTCGTAATGCTTATGAGATCGCCAATAGATAGGCCTATAATTAAAGCATATGAGAGTGCCGGTATGGGACTCGCGCGATAGAGGGCATGGAGCCCAATCTGAGTTGTCGCTATAAGATAAGAGAGCGATATCAATGGTTTGATATGGGGTATGCGGGCGATATATAAGAGCGAAGCGTACCGTGCCGGCCAGGCAAAAGAGGATGCGTACTATTGCATCATAAAGTGATACCAGTGGATTAGTAGAGAAGGTGGCGACTCGGCGACTCCCAGAGCACCGAGAATACTGCAGAATTTGTCGGTGAATGCGTCGCCCGTAAAGGCACCTGGGTGGGTATCGGCATAAGGTGTGGGTTTGGTCGGAGCGTTTTGAACGTGACATCCGTTTGGACATATGCATCTTGGAGCAGTGATATAGTGTTCGTGCCGCTTTGTATTCCTCGGAAGCCGACTATGTGTCGAGCGAGACCTAGGTTAGTCATGTCGCAGTGCAAAAATTGTTGTATATAAAGCCAGATGTCATCGGCGACGGATAGGTCAACAGCGGAAAGTATTTCGTCCACGAATAGGATGACAACTATATCGCGAGATGTGTGCACCCAAATGGTTTCATCTGCTTCAGACTGTTGGACGCCGACAGAACGAAGCTTGGAGGCGATATCGAACCTCCACGGACGTGTCGATCAGTTTTGGCCAGAGGGATAACGGTTACGCTTCAGGACATGCTGAAGAGGGTATTGTTCTAACTCGATTGAGCCCCTATATGAGAACACATAACCGGCGACATCAAGTTTGCTATATAGTAGGCCGAGGCTATGTCGAAATGAT